ACGTTCTTCATCAATCTATTATTTCGAAATGCATTCTTCAAAAAAATATGGTTCAAACACACCCGTACGTATCATTCTTTAATTGTCAAATGGTCAACTTTTAAGATTTTGTCATATTCTTTAATATTGCAATAATATTAAATTTCAGATGTGTTGGAAAGCGGACAACACTCAGTTTTCTTATTTTGAGCTAAGCATTGCTTAGTTGTTCATCATCAACCAATTTTTAAGAAGCAATTAAGTCAAAAAGATAAAAAAGCTGTAACACCTTGAAATTATTGTTCTCGTCAAATGTGTCAAAATAGGTAGAAGACATCATGTAACATAAATTTAGAACCTCACATTAGAGTATAAAAGTATTTTCAATGGTGGTGTAAAATTAAATATAAATTGGTATCTTTAAAACTAATTTTACATTCTCATTTACATGCCCGTGGATTAAAATTCAAATTATATTCTAAAAGCATCTCCAACAGTAGTGTAAAATAGAGATTTAAATATTCATTCCAAAAATGAAAATTGTTTTTTAATACCCTTTCATAGACGAATTCCGCATATTTTCACATCTAGAATTTACATATACAACATATATCACTGTCAAGAGGGAATTTCTTCGAATCTTTCCATTGGAGATGTTTCATGCCATTTTGGAGATCTAAATCTCCATTTTAAACGATCATTGGAGATGCCATAACAAATTTGAGAAATTACAAATGATCTCTCCATACTAATGGGCTAATTAGGTGTTTTACGCTCGGTGGTTATATCTAAAGGACATTTTTATGTCCATAATTGAAAATGTAAATTTGGACTGTTATTTTTCTTTTCGAAGTGGAAATATTAAAATAATTCAAATATAACCAGGAAAAAAAAATTGTCCAAAAAATTTATTCTAACACTTAACATGTTATTATTATTATTATTATTATTATTATTATTATAGACATAGAAAGATAACCTAATCATTAAAATATAATAAATAAATAGAATTGGCAAAAAATAAAGGGAAAATTGTGACCGTGGTCCCAAACCTTTTATTTTTGAGGCCGAAATCCCAAACTTTTATATGTAGTTGCAGCGTCGGTCCCAAGCCTTTAATTCCGTCCATAAAACAGTCAGTCAACGTTTCAACAGTAATTTTGATCCACAACTTTTTCAGCATTGGTCTCAAACCTTTCATTTTATTGCAGATTACACCTAAACCTTTAATTTTTGCGACCAAAGTCCCAAACCTTTATATAAAATTATCGCGTTGGTCCATTTCACGCATTTCGTCCATAAAATTATCAGTCAACGTTGAAACAGTAATTTTAACTCAAATGACATCTTAATTG